AGGGCAGAGTGGGCTGGAGACGCCTGAGGAGACACTGGAGAAGGACGTTTGGGAGAGAGAACTGAGAGAATAGCTGGCAGGAACACGGTGCTGACTCCTCCTCCATATGGCAGCAACCACCTGGCTCAGGCAGACCACGCCCCTGATCAAGTAACAGCAGGAGAGGACCCAATAACCCTGCTCCCAGGAGGGACTCTTCCCCGCCCTGTGGTGTCTCTAAACCGGCCTGTTGAATGCAGAGTGGCTAGATTAACAGTTGAAGGAGACAGGCACAGACAGTAGATTCCTGGAAGTCTCAAACAGACTGCCTAAAGTCAGACAGGATCAGCATCTGACATCATCAGAGGCAGATCCAGAAAGAAAAAACAGTGGTCTCCTACCATAGAAGTTCACACCACAAAGTCAGGGAATCAAGATAGATCAATTTAAGAAGCAAAAGTGAAAAAGAAGAGTCTCACAAATAATGGGAAGACAAAGAAACACCCCCCAGTCTACAGGAAAGGAGGAATCCCCAGAAAGAGAACTAAATGAAATAGAGGCAAGTAAACTATCAGATACTGAGTTCAAAACAATGGTTCTAAGGAAGCTCAATGAGCTCAGTGAGCTCAGAGAGAATTTCAAAAAACTACAGGGAAACTGCAAAGAACTTACTGCAAACTATATCAGCATGGAAAAGAACATAGAAACCATCAATAAGAGACAAGAGGAAATGAAGAACACAATTTTTGAATTGAAGAACACAGTAGAAGGAATCAAAAACAGGCTGGATGAAGCAAAGGATAGAATCAGCAAGCTGGAGGATAAGTTAGAAAAAAGCTCCCAGAAAGAGCAAGAAAATGAAAAAAAAAACAAAAAAAAAATGAAGAGGCATTTAGAGAAATGCAGGACAACGTGTAACATAATAATATCCATATAATAGGGATACCAGAAGGAGAAGAAGAGGAGGAAGGGATAGAGAATCTATTTGAAAAAGTAATGATGGAAAACTTCCCTCATTTGAGGAAAGAAAAAGTCGCAGAGGTCCAGGAAGCACACAGGGTCCCATTGAAGAGGAACCCAATGAGGCCCACTCCAAGACACATCATCATTAAAATGGAAAATATCAAAGACAAACAGAGAATCTTAAAGGCAACAAAGGAGAAAGAGGTAGTAACATATAAGGGAGCCCCAGTACGGCTAGCAGCTAACTTCTCAGCAGAAACACTACAAGCCAGGAGGGGATGGCAAGATGTATTCCAAGTCATGAAGAGCAAAGGCCTGCAACCAAGACTGCTCTACCCAGCAAGGCTCTCAGTTAAAATAGAAGGTGAAATAAGGGGTTTGCCAGACAAAAGAAGAGTAAAAGAATACACTTCCAGCAAACCAGCATTGCAAGATATGTTAAAGGGACTTCTTTAAGAAGATCAAGAAAAAGAGTCTATGAATACCCAGTTCCTTTCACAGTCACCAATTCTTGATATTACCAATATTTTTAATCCTTATTAATCTGATTAAGACAATGATATTTTATTTTAGTTGTTACTTTATTATTTGTTGAAACTAAACCTGTTTTTGTGTATTTCTTGCCTATTTCTATTATTTTTAAAAGGCTCTAAATACTTTTTTGTATTCTTTATCCATTTTTTGATTAAAGGTTTGTAGAATTTTTTCCCTAGAAAAAAATGAAACTATTAACCCTTTTCTTAGATATGTTGCAAGTACTTTCCTATTCTATTACTTGTCCTTTAACATTTTTTATATGAACATTACTGTATAGTCTTAAATGTTTACTATAATCATATTATCAATATTTTACTTCATAGCTTCTCAGTTTGGATATGTTACTTCAGGATAAGAAAAGTATTATTTTGTATTTTCTCCTAAAACTCCTTAGATTTTACATTTGATTTTTAACTCATCTGAATATTTGTTATATAATGGGTTTTGTTTCAAGTAATAGTGGTCCATGCACCTTATATGTTGAATAAGCCTTATTTTCCCCATTGATTTGAAATATCAATTTAATCATATATTACATTGTTAGAAAGATATATACGTTTGTTTCTAGAATGCTCATTTTATTTCATTGATCTACTTGATTATTTCTGTGCAGCTGTCATGATTGATGAGACTTAATAATGTACTTAAATTTTTTAATATTTTATAATGAATCTTGACATTAAAAAATAAATAATAAAATCAATCTGCATTTTTTTTAAATTAAAGAAAGAAAGAAGGAACTCCTACCTTTTCTGACAACATAAATAGTACTGGAGAATATTATGCTAAGTGAAATAAGCCAGTCGGTGAAAGACAAATACCCTATGAGCTCCCCTATAAGTGAAATCTATTCAACAGAATAAACTAAGGAACAAAATAAACCACAGGCAAGGAAACATGGAACAGACTGAGAGTGACCAGAGGGAATGGAGAAGGAGGACAATGGTGGAAAGAAGGGGAAGGGACTAAACAAAGAACATGTATGACTGACCCATGGACATGGACAACTGAATGGGAATTGACTGTGGGAGCCGGGGCAGGGTGGGATGGGTGGAGGAGGACAAAGGGGGAAAAATTGAGACAACGGTAATAGAATAAGCATGATTTTAAAAAAATAAAATAACATTGGAACCAATCTCCTAGTAATAGGAATGTATACAGACATTGGAGAAAATTTACCCTGTAGTTTAGATGTACCCTGTGAGATCAAGTGGTCCAGGTTCTTAGATGGGACAGAGAGGACTGCATCTTCACTCTATAGGTTTTGCTGCCACAGCTGTGTGCCTGACTGCAACTAGATTCTTGCTGAGCTCCTGTCAGCAGTATAGACTGGATGAATCTGTCTGTATCTCAGCAGTCTTCAGTGCCTCAGCATTTTGCTGTTGTTAAAACATCTGTTTATTAAGAATATCCCCATTGCTAGTAATGCCATAATTTGGGAGGGGGAGATTCACCTCCCTGTCTTGCCATTTATTTTGATGCCCTTGAAGTCTTTCTGAGCCAGCCTGAATTTTTGTTTATGTTTTGTTTGAACAAAATGGAAACTGCAACAACCAATTAGAAAATGAAAACAAATGGAAATGATGGCATAAACATGAATTTGCCACTCCATATTGGATCCAAAGATGATGCTTTATTTTTCTAACTTCCTACTTGGCCCTCCTCCAACTAGGATAGGGGGAGGGGACCCATCTCATTCGTTTTTAAGTGAACAATTTGAGAATCATCGGGTTTACACAATTCAGGAAAATTGGGGTGTTTGGTGTATGATAACTATGAGATGCTCATTGTTGAAGTGCCCTGGTCAACCCGGAGCACGATGTCTCTGCTATTTTCAACACGTGCACCTGCTGCCCACACTCAGCCACCACAACCACTGCCAAGCAATCATGCTCCTTCTCTCCTACACTCAGGCTTAATCTGATGCCCCCATGGAACCACACCAGCAGAGGGTTGGCCACTTCCAGGTCTGGTGTGGAAACAGACCCTGCCACCTTTCTGTCTCACTATCTCTAGGAATTCCACTACCTCTGGGACTGGACAACTGGGAGCCATTGCCTTCACCTCAGAGCCTCCCCAACTCAGGCTACTAAATGAACCCAAAGCAGCATCAGAACACATAGGATTGGGGGTATTCTTAGTAAATGCAGATGCCAAACCCCACCCCGATGCACAGAATTAGAGTCTATGGGTTTGGGGCTCAGAAATTTGCATTTTACCAAGGTCCTCAGTAGATACCTATGCACATTAAAGCTTAAGAAAATTTGAGCTAGAGCCCTATATTTTTGAAAAACTATGTCTTCATACTCTGCAGCAATGAAACTCCAGAGCTCCCAGACAAGCCCTACTCTTGTCTTGAAAGAGAAAAGGAAAATATCTCTCACTCTTTTGTATGAGCTTACAGCTGAGGAAACAGAATGAGGTTTATTCCCCAGTCAGGTTATTTGGGTCCCACAGGGGTTGAGTTGGAAAATGGTAAGGCATCAAAGTCCCTGAGACAACAGTAGTACACACACACACACACACACACACACACACACACACACACACACACCCCCGCCCCAACAAACACAAACCTCAGGTCATCAGCCTGAGTGTTAGCAGTCTTTATTCTTCTGGACATGTTGGTTGCTAGGTTGTAGAGGAGGGGATTGCCAAAGCCCAGGTTTGAAATGGGTCCTCCCAAATCACTAATTGACAGTGCCCACAGTGCCCACAGAACTAAACCCCTGTTAAGGACAATAACTTCAGAATCAGTTCCAACCTTTGAATACAAAGCCCACTTTCTTTCTCTCCTTTTCTTTTCTTTTTTTTAAAAGAAAAAGTCTCCCTGACTCCTATTGACTTGGCTATTTTTAGGAAGTTTTAAGCAACTATTGATCAGCCACTAATCAGAATATAAATATTCAATATTCAACTATTCTTGGTAGTAAGGGATTGAGAAAAATTCAAGGGTAATTTGAATCCAAAGGTAATTTTAAAACCCACACACATCATCACACATCAATTCTTACCTTGTTTTAGCGCTACTAAAAGAAATAAAAATAATAGAATTAATTTAACATTATTAATTTTACTTTATTTAGGAAAATACATATATACATACAAAAATCCAAATTGATTGTCTATGAACTCAAATTTTTCCACTAGCTGAAAGAGGTTTACCATAAGTGAGAAATGTTTTAACTGCTTTATCTTAATATTTCACTTTAATTTTATATTCTATTCCATAATGCCTCTGTGTTTTAATATAAAAATCTTGTTGACATACTCTGGTAAGGTACATCATATGTTTATGGTACCTTTATACATGGTTCCTGCCTCATACCTGATGTAGGACACTTCACATAATTAAAATACCAGGACTAAGTGCCAGCTCTCCTCTTCTTTTTTTTTGGAGGCATCCTTACAACAATAGGAAAACATTTAATGATATATGGTCATTAATTTCTTTCTTATTATAATGGTACCCCCAGAAATGATGGTTTCTGATAAAGTGACTGTCTTCTTTTCTTTTGCAGGGAACATTCCAATATCTATCTTCAAAATGGCCCTGATAGAATTGGGCGAATATACAAGAAAGCCCTTTATCTTCAATACACAGATGAAACCTTTCATAAGGTGATAGAAAAACCTGTGTGGCTGGGGTTTTTAGGCCCTATTATCAAAGCAGAAACTGGAGACACCATTTATGTTCACTTAAAAAACTTTGCCTCTAGGCCCTACACTTTTCATGCACATGGCCTAACTTATTATAAGGAACATGAGGGTAAGTTCAGCTCATTCTTTTTCTGGAATTTCCTCTCACTTTTGAGTAGGAACACTTTTTAACTTCTAAGATTATGAACTCCACTTCTAGTCAGTCCTGTAACAATGTTATTTAGATCTAATCTATTTTATTAATAACTATTTTGGTTCATCATAATATTGCTGTGTTTCTCTTGGGTGTGTTTGTGTAAAGTATGATTGTGTTGGGATTTCTGGGTGGACACATAGAGTGAAAGGCCATGAGGGGTGGACATTCTTTGCAGTACCCAACTTCTTTGCAACCAAATAGTCAGAATAAGAAATACAAGCAGTGTACATGAGGGCCTAGAAAAGGCAAAAATCCAAAAAGAAGAAACAAGACTCAAGACAGGGTTAATAAATATACTATGGCCATTGTCACCTCTCATCCTAACTTTGGATAAACTGCTGCCGCTAAGGCTCATACATCAGCCAAATGGTGAGCATGGCTAGGTGACCCTAGAGTCACATCTGAGACACAATTAACTGAAAGGTTATTTGAATGTAGGACTGTTATATCATCCTTAGTACTTAATGACGATAATGATGATGAAAAAAGTTGGTGCTTTGTTGTGGTTAAGAGCAAGGACTTCAAAGTTCATAGACCAAGGTTTAAGTGCAATGTTGCCTTTTGCTGGGTGAATGATCTTGGACAAGTTACTTAAATTCTCTGTGCTTCAGTTTCCTCATGCATAAAATAGGGACAAAGATACTACCTAGTAATATCTCAATAAATGTCAGCTCTGGTCATAAGCAAAAAATATCAAGGCCATTCTACATTCCATTGAAATTATAAGGATCAAGTCTGAAAATTAAGATAAATTTAGATTTGATTAATTACTGATCTTTTTTTAAAAAAAGAGTTATTGTTTTAGAAGGTAAATGTTTTAATCACATATTTTTTATTTTTTTTCTGAACCCAACAATTACATTCATAGCATAGAAGCTGATTACCATCTTATTTCTTTTTTACAATTTTGTGTAAAAAAGGAATTATTTCCATTTTTACATATTAATCATTTTTAAGGTATAATTTTGTTGTGTCTGCATTAAAAGAAAAAAAGAGGTCTTATCTTTTAAAGATATATACCTGAATATTTACGAATGAATGATATGATGTCTGGGATTTGCTTTAAAGTAATTAGACGGTGATGGAGGTAAGAGTGAGTGGGGGTATAGATGACACAAGATTGGCCTTGAGTTGATCATTGTTAAAGCTGGGTTGATAGGTACATGGCAGTTCACCATATTATTCTCTTAACTTGTAAATACGTTTGGAAATTTATAAAATTAAAAGTAAAACAATTAAAAAATTCCATGGTTACTTCACAGACAAATTCTGATATTATATAAAAAGTTTCAAATTATACAAAGGATAGCCATTTTGTTCATACTTCCATACCATAACCTTAAGGCAGAAGTGGTTCCTTAAATTACAAACCAAAAATAATTCTGCTCCTGACTTATCTATTACTGCTCCCTGAAGACTTAGTCAACATGAAAAATAATAACATTTTCTGTGAAGTTCCAGATCCTCTCGTCTCTCACTCCTCTGTGTTCAAATAGGATATCACTGCATCCACCAAGGGGACACATAATAGATAAATGCTTGTTGAATAAATTAGTAAACATCTATTCCCTATTTTAAATTCAAACACATTCAATTTGCAATTCCATTGCATGTTGCTTTCTAGGGGCCATCTACCCTGATAACACCACGGATGTTCATAAAGCAGATGACAAAGTATATCCGGGTGAGCAGTATAAATACATATTACATGCTACCCAGGAACAAAGCCCTGGTGAGGAAGACAGCAATTGCGTGACCAGAATTTACCACTCCCACATTGATGCTCCAAGAGATATTGCCTCAGGACTCATCGGACCTTTAATACTCTGTAAAAAAGGTACATTGTGTCATTATTGCTCAGAATATACAAGTATGACCAAAAGACAAGAGACAGGGCAGGCAGTTTGTTTTTTAAATATAAGTCAAGTCTTCTGTGTTGTGATTAGATAGGTAAGGCAGAGAGGCAGTGAGTCTAGAAAAAAAAAAGGAAGGGAAGAGCAGACAGGATAGGAGAAGAAGGGATAAATGGAACAAACATTCATAACTATTGCTAAGCTACAGGAGATATGCTCTCCTTGGGGAGAAGTTTGTTGTATCTAACTTCAAAATGGTGTTGAAAACATGTATGACTTTACTAAATGTGATTCCCTAGTGACACTCCATGGTGACAGGTCTGTGGTTATTTGTATTTTGTTTGTAAATATAATCTCATAGCATCTATTTCTCTTTCTTTAAGATTTTATTTATTTACTTTTAGAGAGAGGGGAAGGGAGGGAGAAAGGGAGAGAAACATCAATGTGTGGTTGCATCTCATGTGCCCCCTAATGAGGACCTGGCCCACAACCCAGGCATGTGCCCTGACTGGGATCAAACCAGTGATCCTTTGGCTTGCAGGCTGGCCAAACCATAGAGCCACACCAGCTGGAGCTGGCATCTATTTCTAACCTCATGAAAAAGATAACATAGATCAAGAGCTTGAAATCTAATTCTTACTTGAACAATCATTAGTTAACCTTCAAAGACTTGTCTTAGTTTGTGGCTATAAGCACTAGAAGGTATATACAGAACTTTGAATTCCAACCTTCACATTTTCCAAAAAGCATTTAATAGTTATGTGGTTACTGAACATCCAGATATGTTAGTGTCTGCAAAAGACATAACACTGAACATAAAACTTATGTCCAAAATTATGGACAAAATTAAAGAGTGAAATATTTCCAATTCTGTAAAACATGAGTAGTCCAGATTTGTGGTTTATTAGGAAAATAAGTAATAAAAAATTTAAAAACTATAAATTACATGTTAAAATACCTGGTAAAGATTAAATTCTACTAAAAAAGCAATTTTCACTTCAGATTCTTTGGATAATGAAAAAGAAAAAAATATTGACGAAGAATTTGTAGTGATGTTTTCTGTGGTGGATGAAAACCTCAGCTGGTACCTAGATGACAACATTCAAACCTACTGCTCTGAACCAGAGAAAGTTGAAAAAGACAACGAAGACTTCCAGGAGAGTAACAGAATGCATTGTAAGATTACCAAAGATATGTTACCTTTACCGTATTTTTCTTGATCAACTGATTCTGCTAGGTTTATTCCCTCATGTGGATAAGTAGTTTCTAATCTGTGGCTCTCATAACAAAACGTATTGGACATGGAACTTGATACTCAGATAAACAGGTCAATTCAAAACTCTAAGACAGGTTAAGCCAGATTCACCAAATTGTTCCCAAACTGATATGGATTAAACATCATCAATTATCAATTGATGCATATGTATGTTATATCTATATTTATTTTCCAAACTCATTCTAAAAATTATTTGAGACAGCCTAAAATTATTAAACTAAATACTTAAAATCATGCTATCACAGAACATCGAACTACAAATATTTAGGAAAATAGTTCTAAAAGATATTTCTCTACACATACATTGTCCCTCCTCACTTTGCATCATTTCTTCTATATTTCAGTTTATTTTATTTCTTCTAGAAATGTTTTTTTTTACTGTCCAGGCCCTTCTTTTACTTCAGAAACTAAATAATGAGCTCAGTAAGATTTTCTATCATTCAGAATTCAGATAAGTAAAATCCTTTACCACCAACTAGACCAATAAGTTTTAATTTCTGTTTGCTTGTTTTTAGCTTCTTCAAAATAACCTTTACTAAGAAACTGAGAATACAAAAATAATTGTACTACCAAAGCAGAAAACTAAACTTAATAAGAAAGTATAGATTTTTGTTTCCAACTTTTGTTTATTATGGCTAGAAGATCTTCTTTCCTTTTGTCAACAAAAACAGATGTTAGAAAAAGACACTAAAATTCTAGTCTGGATAGGTCTGGTTTGATATCTCAGTTGCATTGGGTACTGTCACAGTGCCTCCCACAACCAATTTCCACCTTATCTCTAGGACCACTCAGTTTGAACAATGACCTTGAGTTTCTTTTCTTCTCATGCCATTCTGCTTCTAAACTTTTAGGTCTTTGTGGCTCTGGTCACTGGTCCTCCGTATTTCTTCTTTCCTTCTCCGTATGTCTTCTAATTTTGCCTTCCAGCCTTTAAAAAAGAGAAAACCCTTCCTTTTGTTCTTATTACAAAAGCAATTTATATTTACTATAGAAAATTGGAAAAATTCTGATAAAAATCATCCATACTACCACCATCAACATAATTAATGATCACTAAATCATAAGTAATGATTAGTAAATAACCATCTGTCTTTTTCCTGTTTACTATCTGTGTGTATGTTCTGTATATATACATACATTTGTATTTACAAATACAGTTTATAACAAAAAGAGCAAATACGCTTCATCTTCAGTGTCATGTTCATCTGCTAGTACTGCATTTGCAAGAACCCTGAGGCTGAATTCAGGTCCAAAATTAAAGAGTGCTGTGATTGATTTGTAATGACTAATGTGGGTATAAGAGAGGGAAGAATAGTAATATATGTGCTAGGGGTTTTTTATCCCAAATTGACTTATTTCTGCAGTGGTAACTATCACTATCCCAGGCACCACTGTCTATCAGTCACAATCTCTACTCTTGACTTCCAGCTGTGAATGGATATGCTTTTGGAAGTCTCCTAGGACTGTCCATGTGTGCAGAGGACAGAGTGAAATGGTATCTGTTTGGTATGGGTAATGAAATTGATGTGCACGCAGCTTTCTTCCATGGCCAAACATTAACTAACAAGAACTACCGTGTGGATACAATCAATCTCTTCCCTGCAACGTTTTCTGAGGTTTTTATGGTGGCCCAGAACCCTGGAGAATGGATGCTTAACTGTCAGAATCTAAACCATCTGAAAGGTAGGAAATGTTTACCTGAAATTAGCTGTCAGCTTAAAAAAAAAAGGTCATGTCTCAGTTACATTACTTATGGGGCAATCATTAGGAATCAGAAACTAAAAACTAGATATATTTGGAATGATATGAACTAATGATATGAACTTTGAACAGGCAACTTAATTTTATTTCTATGATGGTATGCAGCATAATATAATAAAAAAAGACTGAAAGACTGCAACATTTATGAAGTAATGAAATCTGAAATATGTATTAATTTTTGAAAAGAATGGCCCTGAAAGTATAGTATAGTATTGCCCTTACAGTACTGTATATAGTTTCTCAGCTTTGTAAAATTTATACAATATTGTAAATACTATAATATTTGCATATTGTCCTGAAAATTAGCCTTTTTTTTTAACTTGGTTCTATCAAATATAGCCTACTCTGGTTTTTTTCTTTTTCTTTTTCTTTTTGTATTTTTTTATTGCTGTTCAAGCCAACTCTTTTTTATTTAAGTCAGCTTTTTTTTTAATTTAACTTGATATGTTCCTTCTTTATCTCTTTCATATAATGTGATAAAACTTTCCTAGTTTTTGAAAAATATTAATTTGTAATAGTGTTCTCCTGAAGAAATTAAGGTTTAATCTGGATCTTGGGTATGTTACTTTGACCTTCAAACATAATCTCACCTATTTTATGTGACCTTGGCAGCAGAAGGCCTAGTACAGCAGATGCCCAATCATTTCGTGTGAGAGAACAGTAATTACTTCCTTCTATTCCACCTCCTCTACCCCACGCTACCTTTTAGAGCATGGCAAAACCTTTCTCCTTAACTTATTCATTAATGTCTTTTTTTTTTTTCCTCATCAAAAGACCTCCTGGGTGAAAGCCCACAAAACTGGTACCATATTTTTGAAAACACTATTCATTAATATCTCTTTTCTATGTTGTATACAGAAATTTTAAAAAACTGCTTGATTTTCCCATCAGTAGTAATTTATTTTCAACTGTTTATTCTAATTTATAAAACTGTTCCTGGCTGTCTATTTCTTCAGTTTCTGTCTGTCATTTGTAAAGCAATAGGAAAAACATTGCTGCCATTAATACATCTATTCCTGTGTGGTTTTCAGCTGGTTTGCAGGCCTTTTTCTGGGTACAAGACTGTAAGAAGCCTTCATCAGAGGACAGTACCCATAGGAAACAAATTAGACACTACTATATTGCTGCTGAGGAAATCATCTGGAACTATGCACCGTCTGGCATAGACACCTACACCACAGAAAGCTTAACAGCTCCTGGAAGGTAAATCAGAAAAAAGACTATTATTTTAAAATATGCCTCTCTCTAAAAAAATGTTCATTCAGATACTAAAATGTTAACGTACCTGAAATTGAGTGACTTGACTGCTCAGCATTTTAAGTCTATTTTATTAATTATGTAATTACAGTTGTCCCATTCTTTTCTTCTCCCTTTCATCCCCCTCTGCCTGGTACCCTCATTCCCTCCAGCAATCCACCCCCACTTAGTTCATGCCTATGGGTCATACATATAAGTTATTTGGTTTCCCCATTTCCTATGCTATTCTTAACCTCCCCCTGTCTATTTTATACCTACCATTTATGCTTCTTATTGCCTGTACCTTTTCCTCCATTCTCCCTCTTCCCTCTCCCTGCTGATAACCCTCCATGTGATCTCCATTTCTGTGATTCTGTTTCTGTTCTAGTTGTTTGCTTAGTTTGTTTTTGTTTTTGTTTTTTCAGGTTCAGTTGTTGATAGTTGTGAGTTTGCTGTTATTTTACTGTTCATAGTTTTTTATCTTCTTTTTCTTAAAGTCCCTTTAACGTTTCATAAAATAAGGGCTTGGTGATGATGAACTCCTTGAACTTGACTTTATCTAGGAAGCACTTTATCTGCCCTTCCATTCTAAATGATAGCTTTGCTGGATAGAGTCATCTTGGATGTAGGTCTTTTCCTTTCATGACTTTGAATACTTCTTTCCAGCCCCTTCTTGCCTGTAAGGTTTCTTTGGAGAAATCAGCTGATAGTTTAATGGAACTCCTTTGTAGGTAACTGTCTTTTTCTCTTGCTGCTTTTAAGATTCTCTCCTTATCTTTAATCCTGGGTAATGTAATTATGATGTGCATTGGTGTGTGCTTCCTTGGATCCAACTCCTTTGGGACTCTCTGAGCTTCCTGGACTTCCTGGAAATCTACTTCCTTTGCCAGACTGAAGAAGTTTTCCTTCTTCTTTTTCAATTAAGTTTTCAATTTCTTGCTCTTCCTCTTCTCCTCCTGGCACCTCTATCATTCAGATGTTGGAACATTTAAAGTTGTCCCAGAGGTTCTTAAGCATCTCCTCATTATTTTGAATTCTTGTTCTTGTTTCTGTTCTGGCTGAATGTTTATTTCTTCCTTCTGCGGCAAATCATTGATTTGAGTCCCAGTTTTCTTCCCTTTACTATTGGTTCCCTGTATATTTTTCTTTATTTCACTTTGCATAGTCTTCACTTTTTCCTCCATTTTGCAACCATACTCAACCATTTCAGTGAGCATCTAGATTACCAGTGTTTTGAACTGTGCATCTGATAGGTTGACTATCTGTTCATTGCTTAATTCTAATTTTGGACCTTTGATCTGTTCTTTCATTTGGGCCATATTTCTTTGTCTCAGTATGACTGTTATGTTAGAAGGAGCAGAGCCTTAGGTATTCGCCAGGGTGGGGCAACCCAGGTCTCTGCATTGTGATGCTGTATGTGAGGGAGGGATCCGAGAGGGAGCAATGCTACTTGCTTGGCAACTTTTCTAGTGCTGATTCCCAAGTGGGTGGGTTTGTGTATGCTCTAGGACCCTGTCAGTCTCTCCAATTAACTTCTGGCACCCCTATGATTCATATGCTGGAATGTGTAAAATTGTCCCAGAGTTTCCTAAGCCCCTCCTCATTTTTTTGAATTCTTTCTTCATTCTGTTCTCTTTGAATGTTTATTTCTTCCTTCTGTTCCATCATTGATTTGAGTCCCAGTTTCCTTCCCTTCACTGTTGGTTCCCTGTATATTTTTCTTTTTCACTTTATATAGCCTTCACTTTTCCCCCTATTTTGCAACCATACTAAACCATTTCTGTGAGCATCCTGATTATTAGTGTTATGAACTTTGCTTCTGATTGGTTGACTATCTCTTCATCTCTTAGTTCTTTTTTTTGAGTTTTGATCTGTTCTTTCATTTGGGCCATATTTCTTTGTCTAGGCACACCTGTTATGTTGTAAGGGGCAGAGCCTTAGGTATTTGACAGGGCAGGGAAACTCACGACGCTGTGTTCTGGTACAGTCTGGATGAATGTTTCTTCTTTAACTCCATGGTTGTGAGACTTCCATACATTTTTCTGGCAGCTCTGATTGTTTTTTATTTTTAAATTTGTTATTGTCCTTCTTTTGGTTGTGCAAAGAGGCAAAGTTTATCTCCATCTTGGCTGGAAGTCTGGGTCTTGATTTTTATCCATTCTGCTACCTTATGTCTTTGATTGAAGCATTTAAGCCATTTGCATTTAAAGTGATCATTGATATATATGTATCTATTGCTATTTTATTTTTAAACTATTTTCCTCTGTTTCTTTTTCTTCTTCTCCTTCTTCTTTTCTAAAAGCAAGCTCTTTTACATTTGTTATAATACTGTTTTGGTGGTAACAAACTCTGATAGCTTTTTCTTGTGTGGTAAGCTCTTTATTTCTCCTTCAATTTTAAATGATAGCCAGCTGGGTAAAGTAGCCTTAGTTGTAGGTTTCTGCTTTCCATTACCTTGAATATTTCATGCCAGTCCCCTCGGGCCTGAGATGTTTCTGTTGAGAAATCAGGTGACAGTAAAATGGGAGCTCCCTTGTAGGTAACTAACTGCTTTTCTGTTACTACTTTTAAGATTCTCTGTCTTTAAGCTTTGCCATTTCAGTTATGATTGTGTCTTGGTGTGGGCCCTTTGGATCTATCTTATTTTGGACTATCTAACTTCCTGGACTTGTGTGTCTTTTTCCTTCACCAGGTTAGGGAAGTTTTTGGTCATTATTTCTTCAAATAGGTTTTCAGTCCCTTGCTCATTCTCTTCTCCTTCTGGTAGCCCCACGATGCCAATATTGTTATACTTCTTGCTGTTCCAAAGATTTTTGAAACTCTTTTCATTTAAAATAATGTTTTTCTTTTGTTGCTCTGCTTGGGTGTTTTTTCCTACCATGTCTTCCAAATCACTGTTCAATCCTCTGCTTCATCTAACCTACTGTTTATTCCTTCTATTGTATTATTTACTTCAGATATTGCATTCTTCATTTCTGACTGGTCTTTTTTTTATGATTTTTATGTCTCTCTTCATGCTTTGAGCATCCTTATTATCATTACTTTGAATATCTAATAAATTGCTTGCCTCCTTTCATTTAGTTCTTTTTCTGGGAAATTCTCTTGTTCTTTCACTTGGGGTCTATTTCTTTGTCTTTGCATTCGGCTGTCTCTTTATGTTTGTTTCTATGTATTAGGTCTACATGCAAACACTCTGGTGAAGACCTATTCAGACGCTGCGTGTGACTGGCTCTGGCAACCTGTTTGGGGTTGTCAGCAATCGACAGTTTGTGACTCCCTCTGCTGGGCCTGGGTGCATGCAGAAAGAACCAAGCTGTGCACCAAGTCTAGTTTTTACCAGCACTGGACCTGGGAGAGGGTCAGCTTAAGTCTCAAAGCCCCCAGAGATCTACCTTCACCTGTAGGCTTTCCATTAGGCTTAATCAGTACAAGCACCTCCAGCTGTACTCCTCAGCAGACTGGCTTAAGCTTCACAAGGTGACTAGAGATTCCTGTAGGTGGGGTTATTGCTTCCCCCCAGGCTGTTGCTCCATGGAGAGGAATATTATGCCCAGGAAAGAAGGCTTCTCAGTGTGGGGAATGACTAAGCAGAGGGATCCTGGCAGCTTATTATTCAGCTCCCTCACCAAAGCCACCAACCCCAGATTTTCCTCAGGTGGCTCTACTCTACTCTGCCCTCCCTCTGCCAGAGTCCAGTGTAAGTGGCTACAAATGAAATTTTTTGTGTTGGCCTTTATATAGGCTCTCTGCATCTCTAGTCATCTTTCTCCGGAGGACAGAAACTCTGCTGCCTTTCACAGCCACATGTTATTTGGGTTCCTTTCGCAGTTCTGGTGCTCTAGGCTGGGGATCCCAGCTTGGGGTTTAGACCCCACACTTCTCAGGGGGACACTACCAGTCTCTGAAATACCCCTCCAGAATTTCAGATGCCACCTGTGGGAACCCAGGTAGCCCTCTCGCAACTCTGTGCTTCCTGCCAGTCTCACTGTAGTGATATTATTTCTTCTGTAAGTCCTCAATTAAAAGGCTTCTCTCCAGTTAGCGTTCAGTTAATTATTCAGAATGATTTTTCTGTAATTTATTTGTAATTCTACTTTGGTCCTTGGAAGAGGTTAGTGTAGCTTCTATCTACTTTGCCAATATCTTGGATCATCAAGTATTTTGGATATTAACCCCTATCAGATATATGCTTTGCAAATATTATCTCCTATCTGTAGGTTTTCCTGTCACTCTCTTGATCATGTGTATCCTTTAAAGCACACAAGGTACTCTTTATACATGTCTGAAATCTCCCACAGCCACTGAGCCATTTTTCTAGCCCCAATCTTTTTTTCCTACTGTCATCCATTGTGAACTTTCAAAAATATCGATGAGATTATGGACCTCCCTGCTTCAAGTCTCTGCTCAAATATCACCTCTTCAAAGAAGATTTGTTTGCCATTCAACTACTTAGAAAGGTTAGGTAATTTACTCAACAACACACAAGTCAATGTTGTACCTGGCTCAACCCCCGGTCTGTGACTCCTGAAGCAGAGATTTAAGGCTCAGGCTACATGGATAACCAGATACACTGACTCTCAAAACTGCATTTCTAGCCCAGAAGGCTCTTTCTTAAAAATTGCAGATTTGCATTTCAAACTGCTTAATGAACAACCCACTTGGTTGAGGCTTTTTCAAATCAATATGTCCAAACCTAAACCCATTATCTTCCCCACAATTCTGAATTACCTTCTGTCCTTGAATAAATCATCATCCATCTACCAAGCTCCAAGCCTAAGCACCATCTCTGACACCCTCCTTCCTTCTCCAATCCCTTCTTCTTCTCTCATTATATACTTTAAAACGTAAATATCTCTGAAAACTGTCTATCTCTCTCCATCCTCTTTGCCAAGACCTCTGAAGTCATCATTACCTCTCACTAAGATTTTTAAGCTGCCCCTGACTTGTCTCCCTACTGCAGTCTAGCATATGCTAACACATTTTCCAGCCAGCAGCCCAAGGAATCCCACTAAAACATCAATCCTAAATGCTTACATCTTTCAAAGCTTTCCCACTGCCCTGGGATAGAGAACTGAAACCTTAATTAGTTCCTCCTGTTTACCTCTCACTTTCTGTTCCTGCCCTGCCCTACATGCTATGCTGCTGTCATACTGTGCGCCTTGTTACAGGCTTTTTCTTGTTTGCCAACACCTTCCCCATTCTCCCACTACACACACTTCATCTTTTTAACTCTACATTCTCTTCTAGACAGTTTTTAAAAATCACTTCCTCTGGAAACCGTTTGGGAGCCTCTTTCCATAACTTCCCCCCAACTCCAGGAGAAATGCTCCATAACACATTGTGCTAGTTACATGTTATTATATTGATTGGTTCATAGCCTGTCTTCTCGTACAGATGTCAGGTTAATGTGCACAGAGTTGGGTCCTGCTTGCTTATGGTTATGTCATCAGCACATCACAAATTTCCTGGCAAACAGCAGGTGTTTAATACATTTGTCCAATGAAAGAAAAGATGAATGGGTGGTTTTGTGAAGTCAAATGTCTAAGATTCAATCTCTTCATTTGTAAAATAAGAAGAATATTACTAACTTTGTTGCATTCCCACATGAGCACCTGTTTGGTGCTAATATGCAATGAGCAGTAGCTACTGTATTTTTAAACATTCCATATTTTGTTTAAAGATTCAATGTTTTAAAAGATTTTTTTAAATTTATTGTTTAGAGAGGGGAAAGGGAGGGAGAGAAAACATCAGTGCAAGAAATACCAATGGGTTGCCTCTCACATACAGCCCAACCGAGAACTGAACCTGCAACTTGGGCATTTGCCCTGATCAGGAATCAAACCAGAGGCCCATCACTTTGCTGGAAGACCCTAAACCAACTGAGCCACACCAGTCAGGACAACTCAATTTAAAAACATTTTTTTTGTCCTCACCCAAGGACATTTTTTTCATTGCATTTAGAGAGAAAGGACATCCAGAGAGAGAGAGATAAACATCAATGTAACAGAGAAAACATTGTAGACATTGATTAGTTGCTTCCCCTTGGCTTCTGGATCAAAGATCAAACCTGCAACCTAGGCATGTGCCCTGACCAGGAATCAAACCCACAGCCTTTCAGTGTACAGGATGACATTCCAACCAACTGAACTACACTGGCCAGGGCTAAAGATTCAATTTTATTTTTATTTTTTATTATTTAATAACAACAAACATTTATTTCTTTTTTAATATATTTTATTGATTGTGCTATTACAATTGTCCAAATTTTTCACTCTTTGCTCCCTTCTGTCTTGTACCCCAATTCCCTCCAGCAATTCCTCCCCTTTAGTTCATGTCCATGGCTCGTGCACATAAGTTCTTTGGCTTCACATTTCCTATCCTGTTCTTAACCTCCCTGTCTATCTTGTACCTACCAATTTATGCTACCTAATCCCTGAACCTTTTTCCAATTCTCCACCTTTCCCTTCCCTGATGATAATCCTCCGAGTGATTTCCAAATCTATGATTATGTTCCTGTTCTGGTTGTTTGCTTGGTTTGTCTTTTTTAGATTCCATTGTTGATAGTTGTGAATTTGTTGCCATTTTATTGTTCATAGTTTTGACCTTCTTTTTCTTCAATAAGTCCCTTTAACATTTCCTATAATAATGGCTTTGTAATGGTGAACTCCTTCTGCTTTACTTTGTCTGGGGAGCACTTTAACTGCCCTTCAATTCTAAATGATAGCTTTGCTGGATAGAGTAATCTTGGTTGTAGGTCCTTGCTTTTTATCACTTTGAAAGTTTCTTGCCTGTCCCTTCTTGCCTGAAAAGTTTCTTTTGAGAAATCAGCTGACAGACTTAAGGGAACTCCTTTGTCAGTAACTCTCTGCTTTTCTCTTGCTGCTTTTTGGCATTTTAATTATGATATGTCTTGGTGTGTTCCTCTTTGGGTCCAACTTGTTTGGGACTCTCTGCTTCCTGGACTTGTATGTCTATTTCCCTTGCCAAATTAGGGAAGTTTTCTTTCATTATTTTTTCAAATAATTTTTCAGTTTCTTGCTCTTCCTCTTCTCCTTCCTGCAACCCCATGATTCAGATGTTGGTACATTTGGAGATGTCTCAGAAGCTTCTTATTCTATCCTCATTTTTTAAACTAGTTTTTCTTCTTGCTGTTCTGATTGAATGCCTTTTTCTCCCTTATGTCCCAAATTGTTGATTTGATACTCAGTTTCATCTCCTCCACTGTTGGGTCCCTGTAGATTTTTCTTTATTTCACCTACCATACCCTTCATTTCTGCCTGATTCTTTTTACATTGTTGCTGTACTCAGTGAGTTCTTTGAGCATCCTGATCACCAGTGTTTTGAACTCTGCATCTGATAGGTTGATTATCTCCATTATGTTTAATTCTTTTTCTGGATTTAGTTCTGTTCTTTCAACTGGACCATATTTCTTCATCTCCTCAACTTGGCATCCTCTCTGTGTTTGTTTCTGCGTATCAGGTAGAGCTGCTTTGACTCTTTCCTTGGTAATGTGGCCTGTTGTAGAAGAGGGGACTTGTAATATGTATGTGAGGCAGATCTTTAGGTGATCACCAGGTTGGGGCAACCTGTTTCAATGCTTTGTGGCTTTGTGTGGGAGGAGAACTTAGAGAGGGGACAATGCCACTGCCAGGCTTCTGGAGGTTTTCCCAGGAGGAAACTATCTCCCAGAACTTGCTCTCTTTCCATTCTCCTCACTTTCTCCTTGTATGCCACTTGTGCCCTTCCAGCTGTTGCTCTGGTGCTGAATCCCAGAGGGGGTGGGTGTATGTCAGTCCTAAGTCCATGTGGGCACTTTAAGATGAGTGTCCTGATAACCCAGAAATTTCTTCCACCATCCCAACCCCCACTGATTTTTACAGCCAGAAATTATGGGGATTTATCTTCCTGGCACTGGAACCCTCAGCTGCTGGGTGGTCTGTTTTGGGGCTGGGATCTCTCACTCCTGAAGTGGCCCTACTGATTTTTATCCAACACATATGAATGTGAGGCTACCCATTCCACTGCCTCTCTGCACTACTCCTGTAGCTCTGCACCATTCCCGCAGCTCCGCCCTCTCTGCCTCTCCAGCTCTCTCTGCATCTCCGCCCCTCCTATCTGTGTGGATGAATGTGGCTTCTTTAAATCCTTGGTTTTTGGACTTCCATATGGCTTGATTTTTTGATGATTTTGAGTATTATTTATTTGTTATTTGTTGATTCTGAGTGTCTAGATGTAATGTTTTCTGTAGCTGTGCCAAGAGGCAAAGCATTTTTACCTATGCCTGCACCTAGACTGGAAGTAAAGATTCAATTTTAGAATAATTTATTAACCATCAGGAGTTGATATGGGCTGCCTTGAAATTTTTTACTTCACTAGGAAAAGTGAAACTTCTTTGCCTTGATCCTCCATTCCTTGACTGAACATCCCTCTATGGAGTGGTCTAGTCCTGCCTGAGTATTTAGCAAATCATGGGTGATAATAATCACTGGTCAGAATTTTTTTCTTCAATTAGTATCCTATGTGAATACCTGCTTTCTATTTAGCGCTTTAACTCTAGCATTAAACACTCTTCCTTTTGGCAGCGCTTCAGAGGTATTCTTTGAACATGGTCCTACCAGAATTGGAAGCTCTTATAAAAAGCTGGTTTATCGTGAGTACACAGATGCCTCCTTCACAAATCGAAAGGAAAGAGGCCCTGACGAGGAACATCTTGGCATCCTGGGTGAGTCCATGCAGAACCTGAATGATCATTGTGCTCTTCCCCTGGGCTATACCAACCTCAGAAAGAACAGAGACTTCAGGACCTACAACATGCCTTCTATGTAAAAACTAAGGATGTGGAAGATCAATCACCAGTAACATGAATCAGCTAATTACTTTTCCACATGCAAGTTACCAATAGTAAATCCTCATCATTAAAAACCATGCTGGCTTCAAATGACGATTTTTTTTTCTTCAAAGAGGTAAGGGAAATTGTGTGTTTAGGTGAAGTTGTTTAAACAGAGAATGAAGCTATTGGCCCCAGCTCAGCTAAAGATACATTCCCTTAGAAATAAACTCCAGGCTACTAATGAGACAGGCTGTGTCAGTCTGAGAGCCTTCCGTAGGCTGCCCTCAGGTAGAGCCCAAAGACCTGGTCTTGCTCAGGCACTCTGACCAAACAGCAGAGTGGGTGCATAGAGACTGTCCTCACTCTTCACCTATCAGCTATGTGACCTTTGAGAGAATTCAATTTTCTGTGCCTCTTCCCTTTCTATAAAATGAGAATAATAATAATACTAAATCTTACCTGATAAAGCTGTTGTAAGGATTAAATGAGTTAATTCACATAAACACTCAGAAAAGCACACAGGAAGCTCTTGATAAATAGCATTTTACATATTACATAAAATATTTATGTACTGTATCTTTTATTCTGTCATTGGTGATAGTAAGAGTTTTGGTGATGGAATATTCACAGCAGTGTTGCTTTTCACATCCAAGAAAATTGAATATTTATAGCAGCCCTCAACTCTTGTGAGTAATAACACCCATCTAGCCCACAAAAGACTAGGGAGAGGAGAGCATAGACCCCCTGAATAGCTTCCTGTAGATGAATAAAGCTTGGATAAAATGATAATAAATTTCATTAACCTGAAGCTGAATCTTAAAGCCCTGCTCATCTCTTTCCAATCTGATCATGTCAAACTGATAATGAACTTTTAAAAACCAATCTTTCCATTTGCCACAGGTAAGCGTTTCGTTCACTGTTGTTCTTGCCAGAGGACAAGCCAAAGAAAATATTCTGAATGTTACATACCAAGCAAGGATACTAATTTTCTCTTTGTCCCTAGGTCCTGTCATTTGGGCAGAGGTGGGAGACATCATCAGAGTGACCTTTCATAATAAAGGAGCATATCCCCTCAGCATTGAGCCAACTGGGGTGAGAGTCAATAAGAGTAATGAGGGCACATACTATGCCTTTCAGTACGACCCCAAGAGTGGAAGTGAGTACTACACTCTGTAACCAATCAATAATGTTTAATAACCCACTGTGCCACAAAATCTGAAGGCAGGACTTCTGAGAAAACTGATCATCTATCAAAAGGAAGCACACATACCTCTTCTCCTACCATTTCCAATTGGGTTATAGAACTTAGTCTTGTCTTAATTGGATGATTATTGATAATGCTGGCAGAAACTTATTTGGATTATATCAATTATATATTTCTGAAGTACCATTTAGGTGATTTTTTAATTTAAAAAATTTTCTTGTAATTAAAAGAATATTAGATACTCATTTTAGAATATTTGAAAAATATTAAAAGGTGTAGCTCAAAATACTATCCAAAATACTATCCATAGTTCTATAGACAATCACTACTATATTTTTATATAATTCCTCTACTCTTTCATCTATAATTTATATCTTATATATAATTTATATATAATATAATATCTTAAATTATATATATAATTTATATCTTAAAAATAGTTGAGGTTGTAATATATAAATATACCTATCATTATAATTTTGTATCCAGAGTTTGTTTTCTTTTCATTATTAGTATTTTATAAATATAATTTTAATGATACAAAATGTTCCAACATATGGATGTATTTAGGCATTTTTATATGTCAAGGGTGACCAATAAAGACTAGTAGTTTTCCCACCACTTGCAGTGTGACTGCAAGTAAGGTATTCAGTCTTTCTGGCCTCAGTTTCCTCAAGTGTAAAATTGGGAGATATGAACAGGATCATCGACAAGCTCTCTTTCAGTTACAAAATTATTTTCAGTTTAGTTTTGTTCAATGGAAAAATTCATTGATTACCCCCTATTTCCACATGTTGTTCTAGCTGATAGAAATATAGAGACAATGCTTGCCTTCAAGAAGTTCTATTTGGGTGGGAGCGAGAGATACACATGATGTAACATGAAAGGTGCTAGAGACACTCTTAGAGCTTTGAGAGCAAAAAGAGGGCATTGTCTTAGTCGGTTCAGGCTGCTATAATTAATTACCACAGACTGGATGGTTTATAAACAACAGATTTATTTCTCACAATTCTGGTGGTTGGAAGTTCGAGATCAGAGCATGGTTGGGTGAGGGCCCCCTTCTGAGTCTCCGGCTTCTTATTATATCTTTACCTGGTGAAAGGGCTAAGCAGCTCCGTGGGGCCTCTTTCATGAGGGCACTAATCCCATGCAGGAGAGCTCCACTCTCATAACCTAATCATTCCCCAAAGGCCTTACCTAACACCATCACATTGGACATTAGGATTCCAATACATGAATTTGGGAGAGGGGATTGCAAACCTTTTGATAGTAGCAGGCAGCAGCCTCAGACAGAGGTTTAGAGGAGGCTTCCTGGAGGAAATCACATCCATCAGTGACCCAACACTGGAGCACAAGTAGGATTTCATTCAAGTAGGATTCCATTCTAATTCATAGGGAGCTCAGAAGTAGGTTATCCTATACTAAACCCAGTCTACTTTGTGACTCAATTCACCACATTAAAAAGTACACTTAACCTTATTGATATGACCTTTCTCACAGGTATGCCTCCTCCTTCAGCCTCCTATGTGGCACCCAAAGAAACATTCACCTATGAATGGTCTGTTCCCAAAGAAGTGGGACCCACTTACAAAGACCCTATCTGTCTATCTAAGATGTATTATTCTGCTGTGGATCCCACCAAAGATATATTCACTGGGCTTATTGGGCCATTGAAAATATGCAGGAAAGGAAGCTTACATGCAAATGGGAAACAGGTAAGTCCAATCAGGGAAAATGAAAATGATTTTTAAATCCCTTTGAATTATCATTATTATAAGGAAAATTCTGAGTTTTGAGGCAGTGAGGATTCTACACATAATGTTTATTATAAATTTTTTTGAGGTTTATAAGATCTGAATTACGCAGGGTTTCTCTGACTGACCTGATTGTCCCAAGATGAGGTGGAAACAAAATTTTCCTTAGAATCTAAGACTTTTTTTTTTCAGTTTCCAAATGGTTGTTTTATCAGACTGTTTGAACATTAAATGTATCCTTGTTTGCAATCCGAAATAGTTACCTGAAGTTTGCTGTATATATTTACTTTATTGTATATTTGTTTTCTAAACTCTAAGGCTTTTTATGACACAATTAGACTTTCACACACACACAAAAGGTTAGCTATTAATTGAGGAAAATATATTTTTTTTAAATTTATTTACTTTTTAAATACATTTGTCTCTGCCTCTCCCTCCCCCCACTTTCCCTTGCCCCCTCTCTCCTTCCCTCCCTCAGCTCTTCCCCTTTGGTTTTGTCCATGAGTCCTTGCTCTATGTTCCTTGACTTTCTCCTTCCCTTCCTTGTCCCTGCCCCACCCCCTTCCCTCTTGTCTCTGTTGGTTTCTTTTCCTTGAGGAAAATATTTTTTAAGATATTTTTTAGAACTCAGGAAATGATCCTTTGACCAAGAAATAGAAATAGCTAACCCCATCATTTTTATATCTAAAATAAATATTTTATTTTTAATTTAACGTTTATTATATTTTTTCATTACCATTTAGTCCCCTTATAACCCCCTCCCCTCAGCAATCACCGCACTGTTGTCCATGTCCATGAGTCCTTTTCCCTTTTTCCTCAGTCCCTCCACACCTTAACCTTCCCCTGCCAACTAGCTGTCATCCTGCTGTCATTTGAGTCTGTCCCCATTTTCCTTGTTAGTTCAGTTTGTTCATTAGATTCCACATATGAGTGAAATCATTTGGTATTTTTCTTTCTCTGACTGGCTTATTTCACTTAGCATAATGTGAACCTTTAAAAGATAATGACTCCTTTAAAAATGCCTCAATATAATTACCACATCCTAAAATCATCATTAATTTCTTAATATTGTTAAATTTCCAATCACTGTTTACATGTCCCAATTGTCCTTTAATTGTTTCAAGTTTGTTTGGATGAGTACATATATACTTCACACATTACAATCAGTTAATGTTTCTCAAGATTTTTTTTCTTTCTTTCTTTTTTTTTTTTTTTGCAATAGTCATTCATTTATCCTGTAGAAGTTTTGCATGCCTAGATTTTACTGAGTGCATTCCTGTGGTGTCATTTAACATGTTTCTTTCTCTATTTCCTATAAATCAGTGGCTATATATAAGGCATGATAATATTCAGGTTATTTTTTGTTTGTTTTTTGTTTTTGTTTTATTTTTGTCAATACTACTTCATGTGTGGTACTGGGTAGGGTACTTCTATCAGGGAATAGATACTATATAATATTCTCTCCATGTTATCAGCTACCAATAACCATTTCCTATTAGGGTCAAAATCTAATCAGGTGTTGCAGGAATGATACCATCATTCCTTCTTTGTTTACTAGCTACTACACCTGTAAAAACAAAAACTTCCCTTAATAGACTATTTGCTTACACTGAGGTATGTATCACATCAGAAAGGAATGACAAATGTTTAATTCTTTCCCTTTACTTACAAGTTTTCAAATTAATAGTTTTTCTCTAGCATACTTGGAAGATTCTTAATAATTGTTTTAAGTATTATTGTGAATTCATGGATTTAAGCATATTTGGTGTGTTTCAATTCATTACCATTACGCTTAATGATGCTACATGTATCCTGTTTTTGGCCACTGGAGGGACTTGTTCAAGTAGACCTTCACTTTTTCTTGAAGCTTCTTTAATTTTTAGTATAAAAGGCTATTTTAAATTTATATTACACATTTTCTGAGCCAGACCTGGTACCAGCCATTTCTCTGGTTCTTTTGGGTGAGAAATTATTTTTAGAACTACAATCAGGCACTAGGGCAGGGAGAGGGGGGCTCATTGCTATTGAGTTCATCATTATTTCTAGGCCTTTTCAGTGGGCAGATCTGAAAAAAAAATTTTTTTTCTTTTTAAGGTATTAATGAAAGTTGTATATAAGATTACTTTATTTCTGCATCTTCTCAACTGTTTCTTCCTTGTATTTGCCCGTTTCTTTTCCTACTTGGTAAGATTTGGTTTTGTGTTCAAGAATCTTTCTGCGACCTTTGTGCAACTTCAGCTTAATGATAGCCACCTTGCTGGGCTGAATGCCCACTTGAACAGTGGTCCCATTAGCTTTCTCCTGCTGCACTTATTCAGTGTGGATGACATATTTCTCCCTGTAAACCTGGACTGCTTTGCCAATTTGCTGCCCTTTGTAATGTTCTTGAAAAACCTGAACTTCATTATCTTTTCGAATGGGCATGGATTGAACACTGTATTTCTGTCTCAGCTCTTTGGAAAGAGGAGAAACATAATCTTCCTGGGAATGTGGGAAGGTGCATTGAAATGCCTTTTATGGTTCTTGCTCCAACAGAAGTCACAAAGGGATTGAACTTTATTTTGACCAGATGGCATTTCTACAATGGCCACAACAGGGAACATCTGGAAAAAAAACTTTTAAGACAAACTTCATCATGAATTTTTAGTGATACTTTCTATTCAGTTTAGGTCTATGAATTTTTTGCTTTTTTTTTTTAACTTAACCTAATTGATCTTACATCTGTATCTCCCTTTAACTGCCCTGAAAACTCTTAGTTCTCAACAATACCAACATAAATATTCACTCAATTCATCCCACAATATACACACGACAGTTACATAATCACAATTACAACACTGCAGCCAACAATATAATTACTGGAAATAGTATATGATTTGTTTGCAGTCTTTTTGTCCTCAGAGTAGATCTCCCTAGGGATGTTTGGTTGTATTACATATTTAAAATCACTCAGAATAATTCATCTCTGTAGTTTTGTAACCCACAGGATACACAGGTTTATTTATTAATCTTCTTTTTTAAGGGGTTGCTTTTAAGACTGTAATATTATTTTATAATTATGTAAGATATTTACATAAAAAAATCTGCACCAAATCTACAAAAGAGGAATACTCGTAATCAAAGAAGTCTAGCTTTTTATTTAAGATTTCATTTATTTTTACAGGGAGGGGAAGGGAGGAAGGAAGAGAAGGAAAGAAACACCAATTTGTGGTTGTCTCTCATGCAGCTATTACTGGAGACCTAGCCCACAACCCAGACATGTGCCCTAACTGGGAATCAAAGCAGCAACCTTTTGGTTTGCAGGATAGCACTCAATCCACTGAGCCACAACAACCAGCACAAAGAAGTCTAGCTTTTATGCCTTCTTTCCTCTCACCTATTGCCTCACTATAGAAAGCTTATGTTTACTTTATAGTTAATTCTTTTATTTATTATTATTTACAATGACTTTATTTTTTAGAGCACTTAAAGATTTACAGCAACACTGAGGATAAAGTGCAGATTCCCTATATACCCTGTACTCCACACATGCACAGCCTCCCCTAAATATGAACATCCCCCAGTAGGGTGGTATATTTGTTACTATTAGTGGACCCTACATTGACACAACATTATCATCCAAAGACCATAGTTTACATTATAGTTCACTCTTGGTGTTAACTTTCTATGGCTGTGAACAACTGTATAATGGCATGTATCTGTCATTATGGTATTATACATGCAACCGCTGGTCTTTTACTGTCTCCGTAGTTTTGCCTCTTCCAGAATGTCATATAGTTGGAATCATCCATATATACAGTATGTAGCTTTTCTTGATTGCCTTCTTTCCCTGAGTAATATGCAGTGAAGTTTCCTCCAAGTCTTTTCACAGCTTCATAGTTCATTTCTTTTTAGCACTGAGTAATATGCCACTGTCAGGATGAGTCACAGTTTATTTATCCATTTACCTCCTAGAGAACATTTTGCTAACTTCAAGTTTTAGCAATTATGAATAAAGCTGCTAGAAACATCTATGTGCAGGTTTTTGTGTAGACCTAGGTCTTTAACTCCTTTGGGTAAATACCAAGGAACCTAACTGCTACATCATATGGTAAGAGTATGTTTAGTTTTTGTGTGTAAAGTTTTACAGTGTAAAGTTTTTATATTTAGAATTAGCCATCTGGACTCAGTTTAGATGATCCCAATTTCCCAATTTTGTTGGCAACATCCAAAGCATCATAGTTAGGATACAGTCAAACGTATGCCTTCTTCTCTCCATCAGGCCTGAAGAGGGTGCTGACCTTGGCCACATCAATGTCATAGAGCTTCTTCACAGCCTCTTTGATCTGATGCTTCTTGGCCTTGACATCCACATGATCACAAGTGTATTGTTGTCTTCTGTTTTCTTTATGGCTGACTCAGTGGTGGGGGAAACTTGACAATGGCATAGTGGTCAAACTTGTTTCTCCTGGGGGTGCTCTTCCCAGGATATTTAGGCCACCTTCAGAGCCTCAATGTCTTCAGCCATCAGAAGATGGGTGATGTGTGGATCTTCTTCTTCTTCTTCTTCTTCTTTTTTTTTGTGGTTGTGGACTCCGTTCAGAGCTACTTTCTTTGCCTTCAAAGCCTTTGCCTTGGCTTCAGGATTGGGAAGGGCAGGAGTTCCCTTCTTAACTTTCAGTGCCATTTTCATGAAAAGCAGAATATGTGTAATTTTGTAAGAGACCACTAAACTGTCTTCCCACCAGTAATGAATGAGAGTGTCTCTTGCTCCACGTCGTGATTTGCATTTGCTGTTGTCAGTGGTCTAGATCTTAGCCATTCTACTAGGTGTGTGGTGGTATCTTATTATTGTTTTAATTTGCATTTCCTTAATGACATATTATGTAGAGCACCTTTTCATATGCTTACTTATCATCTGTATATCTTCTTTGCTGAGGTGTACGTTAAGGTGTTTTGCCCATTTCCCTGGGATTAATTGG